GGGCATCCATTTGTTGAAATATCTCAATGAGTATTCTGTCAATTCCTGGAGCCTTGTTCTCCAATTCCTTCAGTGCATCTTCAACTTCTTCCTCCGATACCATTGGTCTTTGATCACATGTGACCTCCTGAAATGGATGAAGATCAACCACTTCTTTTTGGTACAGTGACTCTGTATATTCCTTCCATCTTCTTTTGATGCTTCCTGCATCATTCAATATTTTACCCGTAGAATCTTTCAATATTGTAACTCAAGGTTTAAATTTTTTCCTCAGTTCTTTGAGCTTGAGAAATGGCTAACCATATTCTTACCTTTTGGTTTTCTAACTCCAGGTTTACACATTTCATTATAGTAATTGGCTTTTCTGCTCAAGCTGCTCTTTAAAGTCTTCTGTTGAGCTCTTTTATCTTGTCACTTCTTCCATTTTGTTTAGCTACTCTTCACTCAACTGCAGGTTTCCAAGTGTCTGGGTCTCTTCTGACATCCATTTTGGGCTCATCTTCTGGCACTATCGGACAGTGTTTCATGGCTATTCATAAAGTGTTCCAGTAATATATCAGACAGTGTTTCACCGCTATTCATAAGGTTTTCACTGGCCATTTCTTTGAGAAGTGGATGGCCTCTTCCTTCTTCTGAATCTGTCTAAGACCAGAAGCTCTGCTGAAACCTCTCCACCATGGGTAACCCTGCTGGCATTTTGCAACACAGTGGCATAGCCTCCAGCTTCACAACAACATGTAAGCCACCATAGAACTACAAACCGACAGACAAGTTTGTCTCCTTTATTGTTCCTAACCCCTCTGCACCTGCCTACCTCAGGCCCCAGCCTTAAAATATAGCCACCCACAAGCAAAAAGCCACCTCCAAGCCCCGGGCCTGCCTACCTCCAGTCCAAGCCTCGATAAAGAGCCACACCTAAGTGTAAAGCAGCCTCCAAGTCCCAGGCCCACCTACCTCAGGCCCCAGACTTAATGCAGAGCAACACCCAAGTGAAAAGCAGTCCCCAGCCCTGGGCCCACCTACGTTGGTCCCAACCTTAATATAGAGCCACACCCAAGTAAAAAGGAGCCTCCAAGCCCTGGTAAGGAGAGGAGTACAGATTCTACCCCCAAGAGGCAGGAAGCAGGGTAAAAGCTAGAGATGACAGAGCAGCAGGATCCAGGGAAGAGGAAGGCAGAGAGGTTTTGAACAGCTAAGGGAGACAAATTTGTCTGTCAGTTTGTCATACTATAATGGCTTGCATGTGGCTGTGAGGCTTGAGGCTGTGCCACCGGTGTTTCAAATGCCAGCAGAGTTGCACGTGGTGCACAGGTTTCAACACAGCTTACAGACTGAGACAGACTAGGAAGAAGGAAGAGGCCATCCACATCTCAAAGAATTGGCCAGGGAAAACCTTATGAATGGCAGAGAAACATTGTCTGACACATTGCAGGAAAGTGAGCCCCTTAGGTTGGAAGGCACTCAAAATACGACTGGGAAAGAGCTGCCTCATCAAAGTAGAACCAACCTTAATGATATGGGTAAAGTAAAGCTTTTGGGACTTCCATTTGCTGACGTGGTATGACTCAAATTGAGAAACAGCTGCAGGCATCCATTTATAACTGGAACATGGACTGTATGAAGTATGAATCTAGGAAAATTGGAAGTTGTCAAAAATGAAATGCAATACATAAAGATATATATCCCAGGCATTAGTGAGATGAAATGGATTGGTTTTGGCCATTTTGATTCAGACAACCGTATGATCTACTATGCTGGGAATGACAATTTGAAGAGGAATGGCATGGCATTCAGCATCACAAAGATGTTTCAAGATCTGTCCTGAAGTACAGTGATGTCAGTGATAGCATAATATCCATATGCCTACAAGGAAGACCAGTTAATATTACTACTATTCAAATTTACACACCAACCACGAAAGCCAAAGATGAAGAAATTGAAGATTTTTATCAACTTCTGCAGTCTGAAATTGACCAAACATACAATCAGAATGTGTTAATAATCACAGTGATTGGAATGCAAAAGTTGGAAACAAAGAATTACCGGTAGTTGGAAAATTTAGCCTTGGTGACAGAAATAATGCTGGAGGTCGCATGATAGAATTTTGCAAGACCAACGGCTTATTCATTGCAAATACCTTTTTTCAACAACACAAACAGTGGCTATGCATGTGGACTTTGCCAGATGGAGTACACAGGAATCAGATTGACTACATCTGTGGCAAGAGGAGATGGAAAAGCTCAATATCTTCAGCCAAAACAAGGCCAGGAGCTGATTGTGGAACAGACCATCAACTGCTCATATGCAAGTTCAACTTGAAGTTGAAGACAATTAAAACAAGTCCATGAGAGCCAAAATATGACCTGTAATATATCCCTCCTGACTTTAGATACCATCTAAAGAATAGATTTGATGCATTGAACACCAGTTACTGAAAACCAGAAGAACTGTGGGATGACATCAAGAACATCATCCATGAAGAAAGCAAGAGGTCATTAAAAAGACAGGAAAGGAAGAAAAGACCAAAGTGGATGTCAGAAGATACTCTGAAACTTGCCCTTGAGTGAAGAGTAGCTAAAGCAAATGGAAGAAATGACAAGATAAAAGAGCTGAACAGAAGATTTCAAAGAGTAGCTCAAGTGGACAAAGCCAATTACTGTAATAAAATATGTAAAGGCCTGGAGTTAGAAAACCAAAAGGGAAGGACATGCTCAGCATTTCTAAAGCTGCAAGAACCAAGGAAAAAAATTAAGCCTTGAGTTGCAATATTGAAAGATTCTATAGGCAAAATATTGGATGATGCAGGAAGCATCAAAAGAAGATGGAAGGAATACACAGAGTCACTGTACCAAAAAGACCTAGTCAGTGTTCATCCATTTCAGGAGGTGACATATGATCAAGAACCAATGGTATTGAAGGAAGAAGTTGAAGCTGCACTGAAGGAATTGGCAAAGAACAAGGCTCCAGGAATTGACAGAATACCCATTGAGGTGTTTCAACAAATGGATGCCCTGCTGGAGGTACTCACTCGGCTATGCCAAGAGATTTGAAAGACAGCTACCTGGCCAACTGACTGGAAGAGATCCATATTTGTACCCATTGCAAAGAAAGGTGATCCTACAGAATGTGGAAATTATCAAACAATATCATTAATAATGCATGCAAGTAAAATCTTGCTGAAGATAATTCAAAAATGGTTGCAGCAGTGTATTGACAGAGAACTTCCAGAAATGCAAGCTGGATTAAGAAGAGGACATGAACAAGGGGATATCATTGCTGATGTCAGATGTATCTTGGCTTAAAGCACAATACCATAAAGATGTTTACTTGTGTTTTATTGACTATGGAAAAGCATGTGATTGTGTGGATTGTAATAAAGTATGGGTAACATTGAGAAGAATGGGAATTCCAGGACACTTAATTGTACTCAAGAGAACCTGTACATAGACCAGGAGCCTGCTGTTTAAACAGAACTAGAGGACACTACATGGTTTAAAATCAAGAAGGGAGTGTGTCAGGGTTGTATCCTTTCACCATACTTATTCAATCTTTGTTGTTGTTGTTATGTGCCATCAAGTTGGACCCGACTTATAGTGACCCCTCCTTGGGTTTCCGAGGCAGTATCACTACAGAAGTAGATCTCCCAGCCTTCCTCCCAAGGTGTGGCTGGTGGGTTTGAACCACTAGCCTGCTGGTTAGCAGTCCAGTGCCTTAGGCACTATGCTACCAGAGCTGGACTATAGGAATAAGAACGTGGCATCAGGATTGGAGGAAGAATCAATCATTAACAACTTGTGCTATGCTGATGACACAACTTGACTTGCTGAAAGTGAGGCTGACTTTAAGCAGTTCCTGATGAAGATTGAAGACTACAGTCTGAAGTATGTATTACATTTCAATATAAAGAAAACAAAAATCCTCACAACTGGACCTGTAAGCAGCATCACAGTAAATGGAGAAAAGATTGAAATTGTCAAAGACTTCACAGTGCTTGCTTCTACAATTGACGTGAATGGAAGCAGCAGTCAGGACATCAGATGATGTATAGCACTGGGCAAATCAGCTGCAAAGGATCTCTTGCAAGTGCTGAAGAGCAAAGATGTCTCCTTGAGCACTAAGGTGTGCTTGACACAAGCCTTGGTATTTTCAATCACCTTATACACATGTGAGAGCTGGACAATGAATAAGAAAGACCAAGGAAGAGTTGATGCTTTTGAGTTGTGGTGCTGGCAAAGAATGCTGAAAGTACCATGGACTGCTAAAAGAGCCAACAAATCTGTCCTGGAGGAAGTGCAGCCAGAATGCTCCTTATAAGTGAGAGTGGCCAGACTTCGTCTCACCTACTTTGGTCATGTTGTCAAAAGGGACCGTTCCTGGAGATGGATGTCATGCTTGCTAAGGTAGAGGGTCAACGAAAGAGGGGAAGGCCCTCAACAAGATGGATTGACACAGTGGCTGTGGCCATAGGCTCAAGTACAGCAAGGATCGTGGAGCTGGTGCGGGACTGGGCAGTGTTTCGTTCTACCATGCATAGGGTTGCTATGAGTTGGAGGCAACTCAGTGGCACCTAACAACAAGCCCAGGCCTGCCTACCTCAGGCCCCAGCCTTAATATAGAGCCACACTACACAAAAAACAGCCTCCAAGCCCTGGACCTGCCTACCTCAGTCCCCAGCCTTAATAAAGAGCCACAACCACATGAAAAGCAGGCAGCTTGCCCCAGGCCTGCTTACCTCAGGCCCTGGCCTTAATGTAGACCCACGTGAAAAGCAGCCTCCCAACCCTGGGCTGGGTTGAATAAGATGATTAGAACTGATACTGATAGGCTAGAGGGAGCCATTAATGATTCTGGAGAGGGGTGCATTATAGTAATAAAATCAGAGCTAAAATTTAGGAAGAATATTTAGCAGCAGTTTTATGATAGATTGGATGAAATAGAGATAATGCCACACTTTATTGTGATTAGAAATAATTTGCATTTGTATTTCTTTGAATGTTTAGAAAGAAAAAAATAGTTTATTAGAAGACATCAAAAGAATGAAGCAAGAAAAACAAGCTCTTGAAGTAGACTTGGAAAAGATGAAGAAAGAGAGAGACCAAGCCAAAGATCAGATTGCTTATGCTACAGGTAAACACAGAGTTTAAACAGTTTACGTTTATAGTCATAACTGCTCTAATCTTGAATGTAATTGGTAGAACCTTAAACTGTACCTTTAAGTATATTGTAATCTTAGAAGCAGTACAAAAAGTCAGTAATTAACAAGTTTGCACATTTGATTGGTTTTAACAGGAAATAGCACATGACCAAAGATTACTTTGAATGCATGGAATTTTATGTTTAGGTTGTTTACATGTCTTCTCCTCAGTTAGACTCTGCCCTTCCTGGGGGCAAGGTCTGTCTTTTTATCCATTGATCTGAAATGTTGTAGGTGTTCAAGTGTTTGCTAAATGAACAGATGGCACTGCACTGCTTTGTAGAGAACACTAAGATAAATGTGGCTTGTCTCTGTCAGGATAAACAAAGGGAATTGAGACAATAATGTAGATACATTAAGGAAAAAAATTCAGACAAACATGAGAGGAACATGGGGTGCTAAATAAAGGTTTCAAGGAGGGAGTGGCATTTGAGTTGGGCCTTGGCAGATGGTAAGATTTGAAAATGAAGGAATGGAGGGAGGCTGCTCAAGTGTGCCCCATGAGCATGTTGTTGAGTGCGTGTGCAGGTTGGAGCTTCAGGATGGCAGAATACAGGGTTAGAAAGGTAGACCACATGAGGCTTTGTTTTCCAAAGTTAGGATTTTTCCTCTACAGAAATTATCAGTGTAAGATATGTACCATAAAATCTATTATTAGCTATTTTAAGAAAATTGTATTTATTTTCCTTATCTGTAGAAACTCTGGTGGCTCAGTGGTTAAAGTATTAGGGTGCTAACCAAAACGTTGACAGTTCGAACCCACCAGCCACTCCACTGGAGAAAGATGAGGCAGTCAGCTTCCATAAAGATTTTTAACCTCAGAAATCCTATGGGGCAGTTCTATTCTGTCCTCTAGTTTCCCTAGGAATAAGAATGGACTCACTGGCCGTAGGATTTTTTGTTTGTTTCTGGTTTTCATCATCTGTAAAATAGAATAATAATACCTACTCTATAAGTTTGTTGTGTTAAATAAAATAATACATATTAAGCATTCATTAATGTTTGCCATTGTTACTTTTTAATATAAAAACAGGCATTTTTATATGTTTATTAGCTCTTGAATCCAACATTTTTTTCCCATGGAAACAACTTTATGTTTCTATGGAAAGTCAGTGGGAAAACAATATCAAAAATTCCTTTAAGCCAGTTTTACTGTGAGTTTGAGAATTTGGATGATAACACAATCTCTGGTTTTTGTTTATTAATAAACAAGACACTCCATTATATACATCATTTGTTTCATGTTCCTTTTTTTCATAATGCTTCTATTAGGTAGGCATCAGTTTTCATTTAGACTTATAATTTAGTTTATTTCCATCAAAAATTACAATCAGGTTATTGAATTACTTTATGTTATAGGTGAAAAATTATATGAAATAAAAATTTTAGAAGAAACACATAAGCAAGAAGTCAGTCGTCTACAAAAAAGATTACAGTGGTATGCTGAAAATCAGGAACTTCTAGATAAAGATGCACTTCGGCTTAAAGAAGCAAATGAAGAAATTGAGAAGCTCAGAGCTGAGGTATATCATTTCAGAATGTATTTCTGTAGATGATCGTTACTTTCTTCAATGATCAGTTTTGCATAGCTTTGTAGGTGTCTTTATACCAATACTCTAAACTCCACTACAATGAAACCTCTGAAAGCCAGAACTCAAGGGGACTGCCTTGTTTTTCCAGTCTTGCAAGTTTTCCACCTTTGACAGGGTGCATTACCACTTTTCTGTTGCTCTGTATTAGTGGAAAATACTTGAATTTTCTTTCACTGATAAGCTTCTGCCTTACATGGATAACAGCTTTCTCAGGTTATACTGTAATTAAAATAACTGGTTTGGGTTTAGGAGCTCTGGTAGTGTAGTGCCTAAGGCACTTGACTGCTAACCAGAAGGCTGGATGTTCAAACCCTCCAGCCACTCTTTGGAAGAAAGATTGGGCAATCTACTTCCATAGTGATACTGCCTTGGAATCCCAGGAAGGGGTCGCTATGAGTCAGGTCCGACTCGACGGCACATAACAACAACAACAACGGTTTGGGTTTGAGTTGGATTTACTTTTAGATATATAGTCTATTTCAGATCAGACTGAGAATAAATCTAAGCTTCAACCTAGGTCCCCATGTGGTCTGAACTCTACCTGCCACTCTGGGCTCATCTAGCACCACACTCTCCCCAAGGCACTTTCCTCCAACCACACCAAGCTGCTCTTTTATTCATGAACATGCCAGCCTCCTTGCACTTATTTTCTTGACCTGCAACATTCTGATCTTAGCCCTTATATTTTGCTTTGCCTTCTTGTTCAAGTAAGCTCAAACTCAAATTTCTACTCTCTAGAAAGGCCTTTCCTTTCCTGCCCACCTTATCTGGAGTAACTGCCTCTCTCTCCCCTTCCAGCTCTTTCTTCCTGTGCTTTCACTCTGTTTTATTTTCTTCCTAGTACTTACCACTCTCTGAAGTTATTTTATTTACTTGCTGACAGCAGTGAGTTTGGTTTGGTGGTTTTTTTTTTTTTCACTTACTACCTTATCTGCTCTCTCCCTCCACAACAATGTCAGTGCCATGGAAACAGGGACCCAGTTTGTCTCATTTGCCCTCCATATCTTCAGCATAGTGCCATATCTTGGAAGTGCCTAGAACATGGTAGGAGCTCAATAAATGAGGTTGAAGAATTTATAAATAAATCAATCAGCTAACGTTATGCTGCCCCCACCTGTGCCTTTCTGACATGTTTTAGATATGCTTCTTAACATGTTCTTTATTTATTAACAGATTGAGAAACTGAAAGCTGAATCTGGAAACCCATCTATTCAGCAGAAGTTACGTTTAAAAGATAGAGCAGTGGATGCCAAAAAAATTCAGGATCTGGAACGACAGGTATGTATTACGCAAGTAAATTTTTATTATGGTAATTTATATACAGTGCATTTTTATTTTCTCAGGAACTCCCATTGTTGTTGTTGTTGTTGTTGTTATGTGCCATCGAGTCGGCCCCGACTCATAGCAACCCCTCCTTGGGTTTCCGAGGCAGTATCACTACAGAAGTAGGATTGCCCAACCTTCCTTCCGAGGAGCGGCTGGTGGGTTTGAACCACCAGCCGTCTGGTTAGCAGGCAAGTGTCTTAGCCACTATGCTACCAGAGCTCCCAGGAACTCCCATAAGATATAAAAATTCTCATTTTTTTTCATATATATTAATACATAAGTGCCTTTTCTTTAAATATCCTTGTTATGCAGTATTTAAGGTAGCATTAATAAGAAGAGTGAATAAAGTCATTTTATGTAATCTACACCTTTATACGTAAAGAATTTTTCAACTAAGGTACCTCAACTATTTGGTGGTAGACCTGTTGATGAAAGGTTACTGTGCATCCCAGATCTATTGGACATCTATGGAGAAGAAAGCAGAATTTTGAAGCTTTGGATGTAGAGTCAGGATTCCTTCTCCTGACCAAAAATGGGTGAGAGAGGACTTCAGGAAAGGAGATCCTTGAGTTGGGAAAATGTTGGTAATGATTGGGAAATGTTACAAAACACCCCCTATAAACAGAACATTCAGCTTGCCAAAAAGCTGACCATAATCCTGAATTCTTGTTCTTTGTTGAGGCTTAGAAATAGTCATCTCACGGCCAGTGAGACTAGTAGACATTTTCTAAAATCATGTAATAAAGGCTATTAGAATAAAGATTTTTTCATTAAAGTAGTTGTTTGGGAAATGGCATTATAATTACCTTTTCTATTTTTAAAACATTATATTAGGTAGTGTTTGCATTCATAACTAAGTAGAAAAATGAAAAGAATTCCCATAGCTGTTCACAGGGACCATGATTCTATAGTCAAGTCGTGATGCTTCAAAATACTGCTATTATTCCATCACAAAACCAAAACTGTGAGGTCACCACTGGGCTCTTACTCTAGTTTTATGAGAAAGAAAACTAAGCAAAAGAATTGTTAGTTTTACAGGACCCGTTTCTATATTAAAAGGTATGATTTGGTAGTTTGGTCCGGTGACTAGGAAAGATCAAACCAAAGGTGGTGTAAAGAGCTAGAAATATTTTGAAGCTAGGGTCGTCCACAATTGCTTGGCTTTTCTTCAATGCTTAAAATTTAGATTAGCCAATGCAGGATAAACATCCAGAATTGTTAGATAACAAAAGGGCAAAGGGATAACTTCTCCCATTAGATGACATTATTTTAAGAGAAATAATGAAAAACAATGTGGATGAATGAAATGTAAAGCAAAATTAAGACTCAAAATGATATGATACATATTGAACAGATATGTAACATTTATAAAAGTAGCTTCCCTTTTTATTAACATTTTCATTAAACATTTAAACATCTATTGGTTTATCAACTTAGAATTATATGTTTCTAAAATACATTATTCATCATTTAATAGCATATGATTTTGATACATGCATGTATATTCCAGATATTATTAATTCTGTTTCCATGAGTATTTTTATTCTAATTAATTTTAAACTTTAATTAATATATATATTATAATCAAGGTATCTTACAATATCTTTATAATCATATTGGAGCCATATTCTGAAATAACAGATTAATTATTAAAATAAAATATCTCCCTTGCTAAGTAGAACATAAGTGAAAATGGGGCTAATTAGATGCATGTTATAATGGTAATTTCAGATTATGTGCATTTGTTCACATTTTTTTTAAAGTATTTCATATTTTAATTTCCAATGAAAGTTAAAGAAAACATTTATTGTGTATACTAGCCAGTTGGTATTATTGATGAAAGAGTACTATTAAAAAGCAGAATTATATCTCAAGATATCAAAATTAGATTGAAAATATATCTTAAAATTTTAAATAAGTGCATTAAATTTTTTTAATGAATTTTTTTAAATATAGGTCTCTTTAGTATTTGTGTATTTGTGTGTGTGTATGATGCATTAATATGCTAACAACTAACTTATAACCAAATTTTTAATACCATAGGAAACTTTAAAAATTTCCAGATAAACTGAATTATTAGTACTTACATCTAGATAGATCCCAGTTTATGGCCCATCTGTGAATGTGCAGGCAGTCTCCATGAATGGACATGCTGGCAATCCCTGTTATAAATGTCTGATTTACCAACAACTTCTACTTGCCATTTAATGTTATGTAAATTTGCCCTCACGTTGAAATGATTGAACCAACCCCTACTTAGAACAAATTTCTAAGATCACCTTCATTTGCTCCATGTGCAGCTTTTATATCATTGACAAGGCATCGAGCCCTTTCTTGCACTACCAAAACCAACCCAGCCTACTGGCATCAAGTCATTCCTACTCATAGTGACTATATGATGGAGTAAAACTGCCTTAGGGTTTCCCAGTCTGCAAATCCTTATAGAAGCAGACTGCTACATCTTTCTCTTGAGGACAGCAGGTGCGTCCAAAGCGCCAGCCTTTTGGTTAGCAGCCCAGTGCTTTAACCACAATGCCACAAGAGCTCATTTTCTTTCACTTAAAAAAGAAAAACTCAGACTCACTGCCATTGATTGATTCCAACTCATAGAGATCCCCAGTGGGTTTCCAAGGTGGTAAATCTTAACAGAACTAGATTCCTTTCGCAGAGTGGCTAGTGGGTTTGAACCGCCAGCTTTCTGGTTAGCAGTCAAATGCCTTAGGTACTATGCCACCAGAGCTTGTTTGTTGCACTACAGTAAGGCTAAATAAGAACTATATGCACCCACTCCAGTTTACCTACAAATTCGACTTAAAAACACACTTAGACTTAAAGACATACTTACAAACTGATCTCATTTGTATTGTGGGGACTGGCTGTGTTCACTGTTGATTTTACAAATGACATGACCCTTAAAATACCTTTTATGTGTTCAATCTTACCCAGAATTTTGAGCACCAGCAGCCCATCTGGCCTTGGGAACAGTAGTTTTTGAGACCAAATCATACTAAAAGCCATCATGTATTGAGCTCTCATTATATTCCAAGTACTCTAAACACTTCACCAATATGATGTCATTTGATCCTCACATGATTATCCCAACCCTATAAAATTAGTACTGTTATCATCCCTATTCTACCAATGAAGCAAGAGTTTTAAATTGAGGAGTTGATACAAGGTCATAAAGCTGATGGCAGAGTCAAACTGCAGCTTTGTTATGTACTAGACTATCTCTCAGGTGCTATTTTATTGCATTCTCAGATCAGAAAACTGTTTAATAATTAATATTTTAATATGTATTTTTTAAAAGATATCTTAACCATAATACCTTTATCAAAAGCAGGTACACAACAGTGAGGAGTTAAATGGTAAAATTAATTCATGTTTTACTTATGAAGTAAATTTTCAGAAATTGCTAGAAAATATAAGAAAAGAAAGTGGACAAGAACCTGGAATTAAATACAGAAACTTTAGATTCCTTCTTCATATTAAAAAACATAAATTCATTCTTAATGGCTAATTTCAGGAACTATAATATCGTAAATTTATTCAAAAAATTTTATAATAACAAGTAATAATACATTTTAAGTAAAGATTGTGCCCTTGGATTTAATTATCCTTACAATTATAGTCTATTTTAGGCTTTAACATTCATCATGGATTTTAAATCTGTATGTTTAATCTCAAAAGTTTATTGGCATTATGCTTTCATAATATTTAAGTAATCATTGTATATGGAAGAGTAACATATATGGAAGAAACTGGAATTTCTTTAAAATCGATGTAGAGGGTAAAAAAAAACAATTAGCATAAAGCATTACTTATTCACTCAAGTTTCTTCCCCAGTGAAATATTTTGATTGTGTTTTTATTTTTGTTTTTCTAGAAAATTTTTATTTTTCCTTCATCTTTTATGCATATATATATATATATATATATATATATATTTGGTAGAAATATCATTCACATACCATAAAATTCACCCTTTTAAAGTATAGGATTCCACAGTTTTTAGTATATTTACAAAGTACAGCCATCATCACTGTCTAATTCCAGAACATGTTCATAACCCCCAAAAGAAGCCCTATACCCATTAGCAGTCACTCTCTTATCCCACCTTCCCTCACCCTCTGGTAGCTATTCTATTATCAGTCTTCATGGACTTGTATATACTGAACATTTCACGTAACAAGCTCGAATTCCTGTGGATGTTGGGTGCAGTTCTTTATTCTTACAGAAGACCATATAATATGTTGTTGTTTTATAGATTAAATGAAAAGTATTATTTAGTCTTTTATGAAGATTGTATTAAAGATCATCTAATCCCCCTTGCTTCCCAATTGAAAGAAGTCGTTTTAAAGTAGATTGGACTTCTTTTTGGGGTGTGGGGGTAGGGACTGTTATAGGCAGAGGCTGGCACTTAGCAAGCCATATGTTTATTACAAAAAGTTTTCAAATTAATCTATGTTATATTTCAGTCATTAGTACAAGCATTATCATATGAGGGATCTGTGGGAAAAAAGTAGACTGGTTATTACTAATATAATAGAAAGTTCCAAGATATATATCAAATGAATGCAGAGGGTATCTGTAAATTAAACACCAGTTAATTAGACAGAACTTTGGGGTACTGTTAATTAGAAAATCTAGGCAAGACTTTGTCTCACTTTGAACATGTTACCAGGAAGAACCAGACCAGTCCCTTGAGAAGGACATCATACTTGTATTCCTTTACCAGTCAGTTTTCAACTACCCTTAAAGGGAGAGGGTCAGTGAAAAAGAGAGACCCTCAGTGAGACGGACTGACACCTTGACTGTAACAATGGGCTCAGACGTAACAATGACTGTGAGGATGGTGCAGGACCAGGCAGTGTTTTGTTCTGCTGTACACAGGGCTGCTATATGCTGGAACAGATTTGACGGCACCTAGCAAAACAACAAGGGATATAAACTTTGAAATTAGTTTGTGCTTCTATACGTTTGATTCAGTCAGGAAACATCATATAAACATCTCTTTAAAATCTAGATGTGCTTGATGTAATATAAGCTAAATTTATACATTAAACTATTTAATTTTACATATAGTTGTGACTTTACACATATGTAAAAATATTTTTAACAGGTTAAGGAAATGGAAGGAATTCTAAAGAGAAGATATCCTAATTCTTTACCTGCTTTAATACTGGCTGCATCGGCAGCAGGTGATACAATGAATAGAAATACAGTGGAATTTATGGAGAAAAGGATTAAAAAGCTAGAAGCTGATCTTGAGGGCAAAGATGAAGAAGCAAAGAAAAGCCTTCGGACGATGGAACAGCAGTTTCAGAAAATGAAGGTAAATGTAGCCGTGGAGATGGGGCTCAGATATGAACCACATAATTAAAGTTGGTAGGAAGGAAGAGTCTTCAGATCTCATTTTAACAAATAACTGTAAACATCCTTTCCCACAAAATCTTAACCACAGGTATTAATAGGTACCAAGAAACCTAGGTTCATCCTATCTTTGTGCCCTCCTTTGGCAACTTTTTATTTCTGAGAATAATGCACAGGATAATCTTTATATAAGATATTCTCAATGATACTAGAAATAGTGGAAATTTAGTCACAAAATGGCAGAGTAAAACACACCTTACTCCACTCTTTTTCTCAAACACCATACCCCTATCTGGTTGACTTTCCCTCTATCCTAAATTTCAAGGTATATGCCTTTAACCAGCCAGTTTTCAACCACCCTTTACTTCCCCCCTCTCAGCCTCCGTCTACCCATCTGCTCCTCTACTCCTCTACTCAGGCTGCTTTCTCCATTCTGAAGATGGCACTGCACAGCCTCATGCATGCTCTCAGTGCTTCTTAGCAAGCCTATTGCACATAGTTGATCACTTCCTTCCATTCCCCTAAGCATTCACAACCAGCCTCCAAGTTCATTTTGTCCCCACCCCCACCTTAACTTACAGCAGACCCTGCTCCTTCTGTAAGACACTAGAATAATGGGAAATATGCAGACTCTAGGGTCAGACCAACCTGCAGTCCACCATTTTAGCTTCATGACTTTCTTAACCTCTTTGAGCCTCAATTTCCCTTTATGTAAAAGAGAGACAATAACTGACTCATTACCAATATACCACTTCTAAATACCTGTCAATCCCTCTTGCTTTTGAACACCATATCACTATACTACCTTCATTTAATACCTGGCCTGGATTACTATAGTAGTCTGGCCTGGATTGCTGGATTACTCTAGTAACAACCTAACTAGTCTACAGATATCCAATTTGCCCCATCCTCTAATCAACTCTTGACACTGCAGCCAAAATTACATTTTCTGTCTCTCTCCCACACGCACATACGCACATTCCTTTGTTGGTACCCCTCTGATGACTTCCTATTGCTCTTAGAATAAATAGATAGCCTATAAATCCATGGATGACCAGGCCCCTCCTTCCTCCAGCACCTTCTCCCACCATGCTTCCTCTACCCAGTCATACCAGCCTGTCTCTCCTGCTTCCCATATTTCCTACAACCACAGGAATTTGTGCCCTCTCTTGCTTTTGATAGGTATGCTGTGCTTTCTCCTTTCACATAGTTAAGGTGTTTTTAACTTTCAGATCTTGAGCATTGCTTCCCCAGTGAAACCTTCCAGGACTACCTGGAAGATTAACTACCTCTATAGGCACTCTTGGCCTCATGAACCTCTCCTTCATAGCATCCATCACATTTATAGACATTTTGATTGGCTCATTAGTGGTCTTTGTCTCCCCATCTAGCCTTGGACTCTTTGATGTCATGGACTGTTCTGCTTTTACTCACTATTGTATTCTATTATTCACCACATTGCCTGGCATAAAGTATTTGCTCAATAAATAGTTCAATTAGTTAATCCGTAACTTGGATTGAGTAGCAACATCTGTGTACCATGCCTGTACCTTATTACCATGCCTGGAGTGTACCAAGCACTCAATAAATGATTAGTTGTAATAATTACGATTGATACTCATGTTTCACTGACTAAGTAGTCTCCCAGGCATGAACTCCAACCCTTATCCCATATTTGTGTATTTAGATCTATCCATCCCATCTTTTTCCTTTTTGCAACCTTCTGCCCCATCCCACTCCTCACTCACCCCCCACACCCATTTCCTGCCACTTTCACCTTTCATTTGATTCCCAGACAAATCAGGCATTAGAACATCTTCACAGGTGTTCTTACTGTTTCTAAAACTTCCTGCCTCCACTTATCCCCAAATTTATACTCATCCCTCAAGTCTGAACTTAAACTTGCTTTCTTTATACAGCCTTCCCACCTCCTCTCAGGCCTCCAGACACTTAGGTGCTTCCATCCCCTCTACACTCACTCAGCATGTTCATAGGCCTATCATTACAGGGATAGCACATTGTCTCGCTTCTACCCAGGTTTTGAGCTGTTTGAAGATAAGAACGAAGTCCTTTTGTCTCTCAGACTTAGCATAGTATCTGACAGACAATTGAAGCTCAATAATTATGCATTGAATAAATGAACAAACACTATCAGTGCCTTCCTCCACATAGTAAACTATTTGAGTTTATTTCTTTTGTAATACTGAAAGTCCAGTATGCAGATTCCAAGCTGAGTTGCCCCCTGTGAAATGATTAAATTGATGTTAGAAGGATGAAATGTGTTTCTCAAAAACTTCAGTACCCCCAGTTGTTTTACCTGCCTGTGCTCAAAGAGGGTAGTTTGCCAATTTTCACAAAAAAGAGTGCATAATAATAGGTTTTATTGTGGGATTTAAAATAATATTGGGGGTATATGAGAATGTATAACTTAATATTTGTGAAACAGCATATCAGTTATGAAATTATATAACATATCAACAATATATAATGTTAATACCCTTCAAAGGATAAGACTTCAGTACATTTGATAAGAAAAGAACAAGTAGGACCCTGTAGAGTGCAGAGTATCAATAACTGAAGAAATGTTTAGCATTGGTTTGGCATTACATGGATTCTTTTCTTCAGATTCAGTATGAACAGAGACTAGAGGAACAGGAGCAACTACTTGCCTACAAGTCAAAGGAAGCATCCCAGAACCAACATGACAACTCTTCTGTGGTTAAAGCACTGGAGAAGGAACTCAGTGATGTTAAGGAAGCCCATCAGATCACTGTAAGAAACCTTGAAGCTGAAATAGATGTCCTTAAACATCAGAATGCTGAATTGGACCTCAAGAAGAATGATAAAGGTGATAAAGATTTCCAGTCTATAGAATTCCAGGTGGAACAGGCTCATGTGAAAGCTAAGCTTGTAAGGCTCAATGAGGAAGTGGCTGCAAAAGCAAGAGAAATACAAGACCTTTCAAAAACTGTGGAAAGGCTTCAAAAGGAGAGGAGGAGGATGTTATCTAATCAGCACTCTAAGGGCAGAGAGGAAATATCTACCAAAAAAGGGAAGAAAGATGGTTTGCACGCAGGTAAAGGAAATGCTAACTCCTCTGGGACCCTGGATGGCAAACTTTACCAACCACATACTTTCACTGATTCCCATACGTCAGAGGTTTTACAAGAAAACTTCAGATTGAAAAATGAACTACAAAGAGTAATTCTGGAGAGGAATGAGCTAAAGATGAAATCTGAAGCAGCATCGGATCAATGTGAAAATTCCATGAAAAGGTAAAGTGTTAATTTTACAAAGATACAGAGGCATAAAAAGATAGAAATTGAAAACTTATAAGATATACTACTCCCTCTGGCTGGTTAGTTTGACCATGAACAGGATTCATAACTGAATTTTGAGAAACTGCACTACATTTCCAGGCATAGATGTGTTCCGGGGTAAGGTTCTCTACTTGCCGGCGGCTCAGACTCTGATGAATTTGAACCTCCATTTCAATCCAAACTATATGTCCTTGGACTGGCCAATCAGCCATGTCTTTCTGCATGTACCCAAGTGGTGTTAATAAACTGTCCCATTGGGTCTCTCTTAAAAAGGACTGTCATCATCAATGATTTTTGTAAAACAAGCTTTAATCCAGGTGCCTTGGCAGATTGCTGTGGTTGTTGCTGTTATATGCCGTCAAGTCAGACCCGACTCATAGCAACCCCTCCTTGGGTTTCCAAGGCAGTATCACTACGGAAGTAGATTGCCCCATCTTCCTTCCAAGGAGTGGCTGGTGGGTTTGAACCACCAGCCTTCTGGTTAGTAGTCAAGTGCCTTAGGCACTATGCCACCAGAAGAGGAAAAATCTGAGAAATCTACATTTCTCAGATTCTTTTTTCCAAAATAACTTCAAACTGATCTTGTGATCATATGCCTTCATGTTTTTCTTCTCAGAATCTCCACCTGCTATCCACTCTTTCCTCTGAGCCTTCTGACGTTCTCAGGTCTTTCTTTCACCTGATCAAACCAAGTTTTGTCCTCTTTCCATTTTTCAGTGCCAGTTTTCCACAAATAGCCTCTTTTATTTCCACTTCTTTTCCTCCTAAATATGACTTTCATACTCACCACTGTTACAAACCTGTCTCCCACTAGTGGCCTTTCCCAGTCCAATGGAGTTTTCTCCATCTTTACTTTCCTTAACAGTATTGACTACATTGCTTTTCCTGAAAGGATTTCCTCTCTTAGCCTCCTTGATGTGACAGCTCTAATCAAAACTTCTTTCCTATTTCTTTTATTGACTCTTTCTCTCATCCTAAAAATACAGCTTTCTAGTAAGGTCAAGTCTTGGCTGTCTGTTTTTTCTCTATTAAAAAATTCATCCATTCTTATGTCTTCTATGAACCATGAATCCAAAATTTATGTTTCAAGGCTTATTTTCTTCCCTGAGCTTAGATGTTAGACCTTCAGCTATTTTCTGGATTGTACCTTTTAGGATCAACAATACCTCAAATCTTATATCATTTTTATCCCTAAACTAGGTCCCTCCTCTAACCTTCCCATTCTGCCTATGAGTATAATTTCCCAATTGCCAGGCCTCACTTTACTTCCTTTATTTCTTGGGTTCACAGCCAATACTTGCTTCCTTACAAATGTTAATCATTTTGCTTTCATCCTTACTGTCATAAACCAGTGCTTGCCTACCTGGTTTGCTACACAATTGTCCTGATATCCTTGACCTTTATTTCTACCTTTCATAATCATCTTCCTTAAAGACCATTGTTGTTGTTCTTGGGTACTGTCAAGTTGGCTCCTACTCATAGCAACCCTATGTACACCAGAATGAAAACACTCCCTAGTCATGCACCATCCATACAATCTTTGCTATACTTGAACTCATCATTGCAGCCACAGTGTCAATCCATTTTGTTGAGGGCCTTCCCCTTCTTCATTGACCCTCCACTTTACCAAGCATGATGTCCTTCTCCAGGCAGTGGTCCCTTCTGACAACATGACCAAAGCAGGTAAGACAAAGTCTGGCCATTCTCATATCCAAGGAGCAGTCTGGCTACACTTCTTCCAAGACAAATTTGTTCATTCTTCTGGCAGTCCCTTGTACTTTCAGTATTCTTCACCACCACCACCACAACTCAAAAGCATAAACTCTTCTTTTTCAGTCTTCCTTATTCATTGTCCAGCTTTCACATGCATATGAGGCAATTGGCACACCTTAGTCTTCAACGTGAAATCTTTGCTCTTCAACACTTTAAAGGGGTCTTTTGCAGCAGATTTGCCCAGTGCAATACATCTGATTTCCTGACTACCACTTTCATGGGTGTTTAACTCTGGATCCAAGTTATATGAAATCTTTGACAGTTTCAGTCTTCTTTCCATTTATCAAGATGCTGCTTATTGGTTCAATTGGGAGTATTTTCATTCTCTTTATATTGAGATGTAATCCATACATTTATTTTTTTGCATATATTTATAAATATATTTATTTATTTGGGAGCTCTGGTAGCATAGTGGCTAAGGCACTTGACTGCTAACCAGAAGGCTGGCGGTTCAAACCCACCAGCCACTCCTCGGAAGGAAGGTTGGGCAATCCTACTTCCATAGTGATACTGCCTCAGAAACCCAAGGAGGGGTCACTATGAGGCAGGGAAGACTCGACAGCATATGACATAACAATCCATACTGCAGACTGTTGTCTTTACTCTTCATCAGTAAATGCTTAAAGTCATCTACGCTTTGAGTAAGCAAGGTTGTATCATCTGCATATTGAAGATTGTTAATGACTTTTCTTTCAGTCTTGATGCTGTGTTCTTATTGATGTAGTCTAGCTTCTCGGATTATTTGCTCAGCATATAGATTGAATAAGTATGGGGAAAAGATACAACCCTTACACACTTCCTTCCTGATTTTAAACTATGCTGTATCCCCTTATTATGTATGAACAACATCCTCCTGGTCTATGTACAGGTTCCTCATGAGTACAATTAAGTGTTCTGGAATTCCCACTCTTCTCAATGTTATCCGTAATTTGTTATGATCCACACAGTCAAATGCTTTTGCATAGTGAATAAAACACTAGTAAACATCTTTCTGATACTCTTTGCTTTCAGCTAAGATCCATCTGACATGAGCAATAACGTCCTTCATCCCATGTCCTCTTCTGAATGCAGCTTGCATTTCTGGAAATTCCCTGTCAATGTGTTGCTGCAACCATTTTTGAGTTATCTTCACCAAAATTTTACTTGTGTGTGATATTAATAATATTATTTGATAATTTCTATAATCTGTGGGATCACCTTCTTTAGAATGGGTACAAATATGGATCTCTTCTAGTCAGATGGCCAGGTAATTGTCTTCCAAAGTTCTTGGCATAGATGAGTAAGTACCTCCAGCTCAGCATCCGTTTGTTGAAACATCTCAATGGGTATCCCATCAATTATTGGAACCTTATTTTCTCCAATTCCTTCAGTACAGCTTGAACTTCTTCCTTCAACACCATTGGCACTTGAGCATATTGCCACCTCCTGAAATATGTGAGCATCAACAAATTCTTTTTGATATATTGACTCTGTATTCCTTCCATCTTCTTTTGATGCTACTTAGATCAGTCAATAATTTTACCCATGGAATCTTTCAGCATTGCAACTCAAGGCTTGAATTTTTTCTTCAGTTCTTTCAGCTTAAGAAATGCCATGCGTGTTCTTCCCTTTTTGTTTTCTAACTCCAGGTCTTTGCACATTTCATTATAATAACTGACTTTGTCTTCTCAAGCTACTCTTTGAAATCTTCTGTTCAGCTCTTTCATCTTGTCATTTCTTCCATTTGCTTTAACTACTCTCCATTCAAGGCATGTTTCAGAGTCTTTTCTGACATCCATCTTGGTCTTTTCTTCCTTTCCTATCTTTTTAATGATCTTTCCCATCTTTTTAATGATCTTTCCCTTTCTTCACTTAAGATGTTCTTGACATCATCCCACAATACCTCTAGCTTTTGGTCACTGGTGTTCATTGTGTCAAATCTCTTCTTTAGATGGTCTCTAAATTCAAGTGGGATATGTTGTTGTTGTTATGTGCTATCGAGTCGGACCTGATTCATAGCGACCCCTCCTTGGGTTTCTGAGGCAGTATCACTATGGAAGTAGATTGCCCCATCTTCCTTCTGAGGAGTGGCTGATGGGTTTGAACCGCAAGGCTTCTGGTTAGCAGTCAAGTGCCTTAGGTACTATGCTAAGGTCATATTTTGGCTTTTGTGGACTTGTTTTAGTTTTCTTAACTTCACCTTGAGCTTGCATATAAGCAGTTGACAGTCTATTCCGCAGTCAGCTCCTGGCCTTGTTTCGGCTGAAAATATTGAGCTTCTTCATTGTCTCTTTCCACAGATGTAGTCAATCTGATTCCTGTGTATTCTGTCTGGTGAGGTCCATGTATGCGGCTGCCATTAATATTCCTTAAATACTCCTGTATCTGTGCCACTCTGTCCCCCTCTCACTCCCAGATTTCTTATAATATCAGTACTAAACTTCTCTATGTGACAGACTCATCATTACTCTAATATTACACTAGTATACCCAAGCTGCATTATGTCCTCACTACCTTTTGCTCATTTTTCAACTCCTACCTCCTCGACAGAACATTTCTTAGAGCTTCCCAGGAAATTGCCTGCTCCCACCTCCAACTCCTATACAACTTATGTGCCATGGAAGCACAAAACACCACCTTAGCTCCTTGAGATCTCATATAAGATTTAAAAAAAAAAAAAAAAGACTCACTGATGTCGAGTCAACTGTGACTCATAGCAACCCCTCCTTGGGTGTCTGAGGCGTTCTCACTATGGAAGTAGATTGCCCAACTTTCCTTCCAAGGAGTGGCTGGTGGGTTTGAACCGCTAGCCTTCTGGTTAACAGTCAAATACCTTAGGCACTACACCACCAGAGCTCCTGATGTAAGATTATATATACTTATTTTGCATCCCCACGGCAACCTGTTGTAGCTTCCTAAGAAATACTTATTGTCAGGCATGTCGGGGATTGCGTCATCATGACAACGAAATTGAAACCTTGCTTCTTTATCCCCGAATACAATAGTAGTAATGAAGCTACTTAGAAAGACTCCTATTTTTTTTTCTATAAGAACTTAAATTTCTTGGTTTTCTATAAAATTTTTCTATACTTTGTTTAAAATTTTCTAGTACTCTTTATCTGTTTCCCACATATTTTTTGGCCTGAAAAGTAAAGGACTAAACTTCCCTGATACAAACTTAAGCTGCTTTTTTATGATAGTTCAGTTATATTATAGATACTTAGGCATTTATACCTTCCTAAGACCTTAATTGGGAGCTCTGGTAGCATAGTGCCTAAGGCACTTGACTGCTAACCAGAAGGCTGGCGGTTCAAACCACTCCTCGGAAGGAAGGTTGGGCAATCTACTTCCGTAGTGATACTGCCTCAGAAACCCAAGGAGGGATCACTATGAGTCTGGTCTGACTCCATGACACATAACAACAAGACCTTAATTGAGAGCTCTAGTGGCATAGTGCCTAAGGCATTTGACTGCTAACCAGAAGGCTAGGAATTCAAACCCACTGGCCACTCCTCAGAAGGAAGACTGGGCAATCTACTTCTGTAGAGATAATGCCTCAGAAACCCAAAGAAGGGTCACTATGAGTCGAATCGACCGACTCAGCAGCAATGAATGTGGTTTTGGTTTTGGTTTTGGGTAAGACCTTAATCAGGGAGCTTTGGTGGTATAGTGGGTAAGACATTTGGCTGCTAACCAGAAGGTCAGTGGTTCAAACCCACCAGCTGCTCTGAAGGAAGAAGATAAGGCATTCTACTTCCATAAATTTTACAGTCTTGGAAACCCAATGGTGGTCACTAGGAGTTGGAATCGACTCAGTGGTAGTGGAAAAGGCCTTAATCACACTGTTTTGGTGAAGAAAATATCATATAGTCAAATAAGCTACTGAAAAATACGCTTATAGTTTGGGAATTGCCATGTTAACATGAATCTCGTTAAAAAAAAAAACAACATTGCTGTCGAGTCAGATCCAACTCATAGCTAGCCCTCCTTGGGTTTCCAAGACGACATCACTACGGAAGTAGATTGCCCAACCTTCCTTCCAAGGAGTGGCTGGTGGGTTTGAACCACCAGCCTTCTGGTTAGTAGTCAAATGCCTTAGGCACTACACCACCAGAGGGTTTTATTGAATATCTGCTTTGAGCAAGAGAGAAAATGTTTATCTGTAAGAAATGTACAACTCTAGTTACTTTACCATTTATTAAACTACCTCTGAATGCATAAATTTTGTCACAGAAACTTAAAGTGCAAATTAATTAAGTACAGGCTACCCTTGAGTACAGGCTACCCTCAAATCATAACAGTTACCGCAAAGCTTATTTTATGCAGCTAGAGTTAGGTGCATGGCGAAAAAGTGGCAAATGCTACCTAGTGACAAAGCACTTAAGATTCTAAAAGGAACAGCTGTGATTATCCAAAAAAGAATATGGGCAAGAGATCTGAGTTAATCTTAAAAGATAAAATGCCAAGGGCTTTGCTTTAAAATACAGATAGAATATTTAGAACCCTTGATTCTCTTTAAAAGGGTAGCTCCAGGGAAGGGGCTAAGTGGAAAGTCTGAGCTTTGAGGTCCAACTCTGCTGAGCATGAATCCCAGCTCTGCAACTTGCTGGTTTGGGATCCTAAATTCAAGCTTCCCCCTAATTATATTCAGTAAATAAGAGTAAGATCATGGAGCAGTTACAAGAACTCATGCAATCATGTATAAAGTACCTAGCACAGTGCAGTAAATACTGATGTCCTCATTCTCTTTTATTCTTTAATTTCCATACTTCTTACATTATTTCTTTATTTTGCTAACTCTGAATTAGAATTTGAAGAGTCCCTTCTATATGGTTTTCTTTCATTTGTTCCATAGGCTCAAGGAAGATACCACAGCACAAATTGCATCTCTCAAAGCATCTCATCAGAGGGAAGTAGAGAAACTCCTTTGCCAAAATGCAGTTGAAAATTCTTCTTCCAAAGTAGCTGAACTAAATCGTAAAATAGCAACCCAAGAGGTAAATGACAAAATTTGTCATTTTTTTTCAGGACTTTTAACAAAACATTTAATTTAGAAATATTTTAATTTAAATTCACTTTTTCAGGTTGTTGGTAGAAATGGGAAGTTATTATTGGCTTACTTTTTTTTATAGGATACCACAGAGCTAACTTTTCTTCTTTAAAATTGTTGTTGTTGTTGTTGTTATGTGCCGTCAAGTCGGACCCGACTCATAGCAACCCCTCCTTGGGTTTCCGAGGCAGTATCACTACGGAAGTAGATTGCCCCATCTTCCTTCCGAGAAGTGGCTGGTGGGTTTGAACCGCCAGCCTTCTGGTTAGCAGTCAAGTGCCTTAACCACTATGCTACCAGAGCTCCTCTTTAAAATTATACCTTGCAAATAAGTGAATGTATGGTTTTATTTCTACAGTTTTCATATATGTCTTCCTCTAAGTAGGTTGTACCAAATGGTTGATGGATATGTCTAAGGAGATTGGAACTTTAGTAGTTGAAGTTGAATGTTGAACATCTCCCTTCATCCCCAACCCCAACCAGCAAGTAATTCTCTTCATTTTTCCTGTTCCATTACCTTTCATTCATTAAGCAAATAATGATTCAGGATTTGGAGGCATCAGGCACTGGGAATAAAATAATGAAGAAAGAGCTTTACACAGTTGTGGCCTTTAGGAAGTATACAGTCTTCAAAGAATTATTACTGAGGATGCTGACAACTCATCAGCATTTCCTGGAATCAATGTGTCCTCCTTCTTGAAAAATGTGTATATCTGCTTGGAATATCTATGAACATCTACCATGTGGTCCAGCTTCTGTAGGGTTAGTAGGTTGAAAAATGGCATTTAAATAGAGCTTTTATCTACAGCTTGCTTTTAAATGGTGTAGCCAAGAAGAGAATAAAAATAAAAGGAAAGAAAAAGCAAGTACATGTGGCAAATATTAGCAGTTGGTGAATTAAGTTGAAAAATATATGAATGTTCATTATACTCTACAGCTTTTCTGTAGGTTTTAATTTAAGAAAATAAGCTAGGGGCAGGGAAAATACAAGGAAAAAAATTATCGCACTACAGCCTTTCCCACCTGTAAAGATATAGTAGCATCTTAATTAAAAGCAAACCCTTTAATTGAACAAGTTTGATTAGCATTACTATGAATCAGAATTGACTCAATGGCAATGGGTTTGGCTTGGTGTTGGTATAGTAGATACTATGAAATTATTATAAATTTTCTTAGGTATGATAATAATGTTATGAGAAAATACCCTTATTATTAAGAAATGCATGTTGAAGTATTTAAAGGACAAATGTCATCAAGTCTGTAACTTAATTTCAAATAGCTGAGGGAAAAAAATTGTTCACACATACACAAACTCATACATATACCTGTACATAAACCTGTATATACAGAAATTAATGTTAACAATCGTTGACTTCAGAATATCTGTTTTACTATTCTTTTCAGAATAAAAATTGGGAGAGGGGAATGAACAAAAATAACTTTGACTATATTTTAATACTTCAATTAAAAAAAATTTAAATGCTGTTCAAAATAACCATTCATCCAGCCTTACAGATAACTTCTCTTGCTTTTTCTCCCCATATTAGTAGGGTATCAATGGGCAGTGAAAGCATTCTATCGAGTGATTGTATAGTAAAGAACAGACTGAGATAGGTGGGAAAAGCAATGTCATGTTATAGTACAATAAATATGCTATTTTCCTGAGTGTATAAATGTGATTTTGTAAAATTGTGAGTTAATTACAAGTTAGCATTGTCTGGTCATTAAAGCAGTAGAAGCATTGAATTTTTCCCAAGTTCTAGTGTCTTCTTGATGGGAGTAATTGTTCATTATTTCTGTGTCTCTGTCTGAAAACATGAGACTAACATTTTTGTCACAGATATTATTATGCTTATGTTATTCTCCTAAACAACATAATTGATATTAGTTAATAGCCCTTCAGTAAAATCTATTACCCTACTCCGTCACAAAGTGTAAATGTAATATTCAAAATGGTTAGACCTTTGGTGGTGTTCTTAGGTGCTGTTGAGTTGTTTCTTACTCTAGGAAGTCATAGCAGCTCTGTGTGCAACACAACAGAACACTGCCAGTCCTCTATCTTCCTTACAGTCATTACTGTATTTGGCCCCATTGTTGCAGCCACTGTGTCAGTTCTTCTCATTGAGGGCATTCCTCTTTTTAGTTGGCCCTCTGCATAACCAAGGATGATATCTTTTTCCAGGGACTGGTCCCTTCTGATAACATGTCCAAAGTGCATGAGATAAAGTCTTGCCATCTTGCTTCTAAGAAGTATCCTAGTTGCTTCTTCCTAGACAGATTTGTTTGTGGTATATTCACCATTCTTCTCTAACACCACAAATCAAATGCATCAATTCTTCTTCAGTCTTCCTTATTCATTGTCCAGCTTTCACATGCATATGAGTCTATTGAATATACCATGGTCTGGGTCAGGCAGATCTTAGTCCTCAAAGTGGCATCTTTGCTTTTTAATGCTTTAAGGAGGTCTTTTGCAGCATATTTGTCCAATGCAGTATGTTATTTGATATCTTGACTGCTGCTTCTGTGGGCGTTGATTATGAGTCCAAGTAAAATGAAGTCCTTGACAACATCAGTATTTTCTCCATTTATTATGGTATTGTTTATTAATCCACTTGTAAGGATTTTTGTTTTCTTCATGTTGAGTTGTAATCCATATTGAGGACTTTGGTCTTCATAAGTAAGTGCTTCAAATACTCTTCACTTTCAGCAAGCAAGGTTGTGTCACCTGCATGTTGCAGGTTCTTAATGAGTCTTTCTCTAAATCCGATGTCTAGTTCTTCTTGATATATCCAGCTTCTTGGATTATTATATGCTCAGAATAAGACTAAATAAGTACAGTCCTGACACATATCTTTTTTGATTTTAAACCATTTAGTATCTCCTTGTTTTGTTCAAACAGCTGCCTCTTAATATATGTACAGGTTCTTCATGAGCACAATTAAGTGTTCTGAAATTCCCATTCTTCACAATGTTATCCATAACTTGTGATCTACACAGTCAAATGCCTTTCCATAGTACTTGTTTACACAAGTAAACATCTTTCAGCCAAGATCCATCTGACATCAGCAATGATATTCCTCATTCCACACCCTCTTCTGAGTCCAGCTTGAATTTCTGGTAGTTCTCTGTCAATATACTGCTGCAGCCATTTTTTAATTATCTTCAGAAAAATTGTACTTGAATGTGATATTAATGATATTGTTTGGTAATTTCCACATTCCATTGGATCACCTTTCTCTGGAATGGCTACAGATGTGGATCTCTTCTAGTCACTTGGCCAGGTAGCTGTCTTCCAAATTTCTTGGCATGTAGGAGCGAGTGCTTCCAGTGTCGCACCCATTTGTTAAAATATCTCAGTTGGTATTCCATCAGTTCCTGGAGCCTTGATTTTTGTGTTTTTTTCCTCCTACCAGTGCCTTCAGCACAACTTGCACTTCCTTCCTTCAATACCAGTGATTCTTTTTTTGTTTTGTTTTAATCGTGGGCTGTGTGCAAATTTACAAAGCAGATTTGTTTTACATTCAACAGTTCATGCACATTTGATTTCACAGCCCTGATTACCATCCCCAGCCATAAAAAACTCTCCTCCCCGTGACTACCTCCTCCCTGTGCCCTTCTTATCTTTCTTTTCTGTCCAGCTTTCCCTCTAAGTGAATGCTGCCCCTCTGATGTCTTGTGGCTGGATGATCTAAGGGGTGCATCTCCCTAGAGTAGGTGGGTGCATCTCCCTGGCATAGGTGTTCTGCATGTAGGTCTTTCTACTGTTAGGCTGAGAGCCAATCCATGGAAGTGAGCCCATTTCTAGGCCTGAAGGGTAACCTGGGGCCATAGTCTCAGGCGTTGTACCAGTTTCTATCCAACCAATAGTTCTGATCATTTTTGTGTTTCTGAATTTTGTTCCACATTTTTCCTCCCACTCTATCCAGGATCTCCAGTGTTGATCCCTTTCCATACGATTGGCATTGGTAGCCAGGCACCATCTAATTTTTCTGGTCTCAGGGTCGTGAAGACTGAGGTCCTTGTTATCCATCATATTTTTGCAATAACTGTTTCCAGATGACTTTGATTTTCTTCAGTCTTCTTTGCTCCAGACGAGAAGAGACCAATAGTTGTATATTAGATGGCTACTCTAAAGCTTTTAAGACCCCAGTTGCCTCTCACCAAAGTAGGATGTAGAAAAAGAATTTTAGGTACTATATTGTGCCAGTTGAGCATGATATCTCCTAAGACTATGGTCCCAAGGCTGTAGGCCTAGTGATTCTTTCTCTCAAGGTGTTTGGTTGTCTTTGAGAAGCTACTACAACCCTGTCTGTTGTTGCTTCTGTAATATATGGGGATAATTTTGTAGCACCAGTGCATATGTAAGATTATCTTCACCCAGATCTATCCTTGGTCTTGGGTATATTTCTGTTTGCCTACCCACATCTGATCTTCTCACCTGTCTATGCACTTACCTATAGCCTAGTGTTTGGTGCCAACGGTAATGCAGTATTGTGCATGTAATAGTATTATTGACTCTTCATCATATGCTACCTCCTGAAATGGTTGAATGTTAACCAGTTCTTTTGGGTACAGCAACTCTGTATTCTTTTCATCTTCTTTTGATGCTTTCTACATCATTCAAAATTTCCCCATGGAATCCTTCAGTATTGCAACTTGAAGCTTGAATTTTTTCTTCAGTTCTTTCAGCTTGGGAAATGCATGTTCTTTCCTTTTGGTTTTCTTACTCCAATTATTTGCACATTTCTTTATAATACTTTACTTTGTATTCTCAATCCACCCTTGGGAGTCTTCTGTTCAGCTCTTTGACTTTATCACTTCTTCCATTCACTTTAGCTACTCTACATTCAAGAGCATGTTTCAGAGTCTTTTCTGACATACATTTTTCTCTTTTCTTTCTTTTCTATCTTTTTCATGATGATCTGCTTTCTTCATGTGTGATGTTCGTGATATCATCTCAAAACTCATCTTGTCTTCAGTTATTAATGCTCAGTGCCTCAAATCTGTTCTTGAAATAGTCTGCTCTCATGGATTTTTAAAAAATTTTCACCTTTAACTTTCGTAGGAGCAATTGATGATCTGTCAGCCCCTGGCCTTGTGCTGACAAATGATATTGAGCTTCTGCATTGACTCCACAGATGTAGTCAGTTTGATTCCTGTTTATTCCCTATGGTGAAGTCAGTCAAAATTGTGCAGTCATTGTTTGTTGTTGAAAAGGTATTTGCAACGAATAATCATTGGTCTTCCACAATTCTATCATGCAGTCTCTGGTGTTGTTTTCTATCACCGAGGCCATATTTTCCAGCTACCCATCCTCCTTCTTTGTTTCCAACGTTCTTCTTCTAATCACCAGTAATTATCAATGCATCTTGATTGCATATTTGATTAATTTTAGACTGTAGAAGTTGGTAAAAAATTTGGTTTTATTGGTTGGTTCATAAATTTGAATAATAGTTATATTCATTGGTCCTCCTTGCAGACATGTAGATATTATCCTATCACTCTGAGCATTGTACTTCAGATTAGATCTTGAAATGTTCTTTTTGATGATGAATGCCATTCTTCATTTTGTCATTCCTGGCATAGTAGATCCTATATTTGTCTGATTTAAATTGGACAGTACCAATTGATTTCAGCTCACAAATGCCTAGAATATTGATCTTCATTCATTCAAGCATTCCATTATTTTTGGTGACTTCCAGTTTTCCTAGATTCATACTTCGTACATTCCGTGTTCCAATTAATGGATGTTTGCGTCTGTTTCTTCTCATTTTGAGTTATGCCACATCAGCAAATGAAAGTCCCAAAAGCTTTACTCCATCCACATCATTTAGGTTGACTCTGCTTTGAGGAGGCAGCTCTTCCCCAGTTGTGTTTTGAGTGCCTTCCAACCTGATTGGCCCATATTCTGGTACTGTATCAGACAGTCTTTTGCTGCAATTCATAAGGTTTTCATTAGTTTTTTCAGAAGTAGATTGCCAGGTGGCATAGCTTCCATCACCCTGGCCATGTGCAAGCCACCACAGTACACCAAACTGACTGACGACTGGTGGCTTAGACTCTATAGCAGTTTATTTAGAAAGATATTTTTCAGGCCTTCAGAGGAAAAGTGTTATAGATAATAAGGCCAAGTAGTTTCACAGTAATTAATTTTTAATATCTACTGTTTTATTTCTTAAATGTTAGAATGAACCTAAAATGATCCCGTCAATGAACTAGATTGCTGTAGCAATTATTTCTGTGTTAGAATTTGGATGATTTTTAAATGTCATGATTTTTTTGTTTTGTTTTGTTTTGTTTTTAATACTAATAAAAACAATGAGTTGACTTTATTAGGGCTTTCCTAAGGAAGAGTTTTGTTAACTCAGTTTTTCTAATTTTTCAGGTACTTATAAAACATTTCCAAAATCAAGTTAATGAGCTACAGGGTAAGCAAGAGTCTCTTGTAGTTTCTCAAGTTCGAGAAGAAATTCTACAGAATGAGGTAAGAAGGAACTGAGATCTTAAACTGAAATAAGTTTTTTTTCTTAGCCATTTCAATCATATTCATATTTTTGTATAAATTTTTTAACTTAAGAAATGCACATCTAGAACATGAAAATGTTCATGTTCTATTTTACATGTGATATATATTAATATATATAATGCATATTGATAAATATATTAATATCCATTATTTATGGAAAATCTACCTTCCCAAGATAAAGCTCAAATATTAATTGGAAATTGTTTGTATCCGCTATCAAATGTTACCTGAAAATTATGATGTTTGTATTTCCCCATGCCCCACAAAAATGGCAGGGGATAAGGGGTTCTTTTTTGTTTTTGTTTTGTTTTTATTTTTTATTGTGATTTGGGTGCAAATTTACAAAACAGGTTCTTTTTACTGTCAATAATTCATGCACGTTTGTTTCATGGCACCAATTACAATCCTAATAAAAAAAGCTCTCCTCCCTGTGACTGCCCCTTCCCTGCGTCCTTCTTATCTGTGCGTTCCTGTCTGGCTGGCTTTCCCTCTATGCAGATACTCCTATTGTGATCTCTCATGGGTGATCTAAGGGGTACATCTCCCTAGAGTAGGTGTTCTGCTTGTAGGCCCTTCTGCTGTTTAGCTGAGAGTTGATCGGCAGAAGTGAGTCCAGTTCCAGGCCCGAAGGATAGCCTGGGGCCATAGTCTTAGGCCAGTTTTATGGCAGTCTTAGGCCATAGTCTATCCCACCAGTAATTCTGGTCATTTTTGTGTTTTTGAATTTTGTTCATTTTTCCTCCTAAGCTATCCATGATCTCCCATTTTGATTCCTCTCCAAGTGGTTGGCTTGGTAGCTGAGCACCATCTACTTTTTCTGGTCTCAGGGTCGTGAAGGCTGAGGTTCCCATGGTCCATCAGACTCTTGGACTAGTTATTTCCATATGACTTTGATTTTCTTCACTCTTCCTTGTTCTAGACAAGGAAGATGCAATAATAGTTGCATATTAGATGGCCGCTTGATAGTTTTTAAGACTCCAGTTGCTACTCAACAAAGCAGGATACAGAACAAGATTTATGTGTACTGTGTTGTACCAGTTGAGCTTGATGTCCCCCGAGACCATGGTCCTGAGCCCACAGGCCCAGTGACACTCCCTCAAGGTGCTTGGTTGTCACTGAGAAACTACTCCAACCTTGTCCCCTGTTAGTTTTATAATGTATATGAATATTTTTATAGCACAAATACACATGTAAGAATATCATCAGCCAAATCTATGGTCATGGGTATGTTCCCATTTGCATGCCCGCACCTGATCTTCTCACCTGTCTATGCATCCACCCTTAGACTAGTGTTTGTTGTTACTGGTAATGCAGTATTGTGTATGCAACAGTATTTGCCTCTGTTGTCTATATCTTTTGTGCATATCTCTGTGTCCTCCTTTTCCCTATTGTTGTTGTGCTGGTAACACACTTCTGTTATATTGCCTTTCCCAGGATAAGTGGTTCTTGTTTGATTTTTTTAGAAGGTAATTTGGATATAAGGCCATTTCTGCATTAAGTACTAATGATGCTTAATTTGGCTAAGAAATAGGTAAACCACCAACACTAGATCACCAATAATAATACCATTACAGGAAGCAGGTCTTCCTGGAAACTCACCTTTTCATTGTTCTGAAGTCATTTTGATTCTGCATCTAGTATTTAAGTCTGGTAACTAGAAACTAGAGCATTTAATCTCTTGAATAGAAGTAACAAAAATGTCCCTTTTAATTGGAGTATATAAAATATTCACATTTAATTTTACTGATTAATTTGGTTTCATTGTAATTTCTCTCTGCTATTGGCTTATTGGGAGCTCTGGTAGCATAGTGCCTAAGGCATTTGACTGCTAACTGGAAGGCTGACGGTTCAAACTCACCAACCACTCCTCAGAAGAAAGATTGGGCAATCTATTTCCATAGTGATATTGCCTCAGAAACCCAAGGAGGGGTCACTATGTGTCAGATCCAACTCAATGGCAGTGCGGTGGTTTGATTTATTGGCTTATTAGCAGTACCTTTTTATTTTGTGTTTTAGTGAGAGCTTTACAGCTTATAATGAGCTCTGGTAGTGTAGTGGTTAAGGCATTTGGCTGCTAACCAGAAGGTCAGTGGTTCAAACCTACCAGTCACTCCACAGAAAAAAAGATGAGGCAGTCTGCTTCCTTAAAGATTTACAGCCTTGGAAACCCAATAGAGGTTGCTATGAGTCAGAATTGACTTCATGGCAGTAAGTTTGAGTTTTAGAGTTTACAATATACATCTTTAACTTATCTCAGTCTATCCTTCAGATAACATTATACCATTTCACATATAAGCATGAACCTATGACTGTATATTTCTATTTTTACTTTCCTGTCCTTTGTGCTATTATTGTTACACATTTTACTCTCATGTATGTTATAAACCCCACAGATACATCACTATTTTGCTTTAAATAGTTAAAATATTTTAAAGATTTAAAAATGAGAAAAGTATCTTTTCTTAATACTCACATATTTACCACTTCTAGCACTTTGTTCCTTTGTGAAAATCCACATTTCTATCTGGTTTAATTTTTTTTCTGTCTCAAGAACTTCCTTTAATGTTTTAATAGTTTGGATGTTCTGCCAATAAATTGTCTCAGCTTTTGTTTGTCTGAAAATCTTTATGTTACTACCTCTTTTGAAAGAGATTTTTACTGATTTGTTCTTTTGTTTTGGTTTTTGTCAGTATTTTCAAGATGTTAACTTTATTCCCTTCTGGCTTTTATTGTTTCTGACAAGAGTCTAATTCTTTTCTCATTCCTCTATATCTATTTCTTTTCTTTCTGGATGCTTTTAAGATGATTTTCTATTTATAACCAGTTTATAGCAATTTTATTATCTTAAACCACAGTATGGTTTTATATTTCTTAGGCTTGGGCCTTATTGGACTTCTTAGATCCTGAATTTATAGTTTTCATCACATTAGGAACTGTTGAACAGTATTTCTTTAAATACTTTTTCTGTCCCTCTGTTCTTTCCTCTTTTTCTTGGTCTCCAATCTAAATATTAGATATAGCAGATTTCAGAACAAGTTACATTCCCAGAAATGTTTGTTAGACCACTTGAGGTCACTGTTGATTTTTCTTTTCCTGACTTTTTGTCTGTAATTTATTTTGATTAGTGTAAATTGCTCTATCTTCTAGTTCACTGATAACTTCCTTTGCAATGTCTAATGCTGTTAATCGGGAGCTCTGGTAGCATAGTGGCTAAGACACTTGCCTGCTAACCAGACGGCTGGCGGTTCAAACCCACCAGCCACTCCTCGGAAGGAAGGTTGGGCAATCCTACTTCCGTAGTGATACTGCCTCGGAAACCCAAGGAGGGGTCGCTATGAGTCGGGGCCGACTCGAGGGCACATAACAACAGCAATGCTGTTAATCATATCCAATGTATTTTTCATTTCAGTTATTGTATATTTCATCTAAACTTCTAATTGTATCCTTTTTATACCTTTCAATTCTCTCCTAACCATGTTCATGCTCATTTCTACCTTCTTGAGGATATGAAGTATATTTACAGTAACTATTTTAACATTCTTTTCTATTAATTCCATCATCTCTATCATTTCTTTTTATAATTAATTTTCCTTCTGGTTTCCTCCTGTCCCTTTGCATGCCTGGTAATTTTTATTGGATGATGTGTATTTTGAGTTTTATATTTTTGGATGACTATTGTTCTTTTAAATAGTATTAGGCTTTGTTCTGTCAGGTGAAGTTACTTGAGATCAATTTGACCCTTTTAAAGTTTGTTGTTAAACTTTGCTAGGGTGGTTCCAGAGCAGCCTTAATCTCAAACCGAAAAACCATATTCACTGCCACTGAGTCAATTCCAACTCATAGCAACCCCCATTGGGTTTCTAAGGCTATAAATCTGTACAAAAGCAGACTGCTCATATTTCTTCTATGGAGCAGCTGCTGGGGTCGAACCACCAACCTTTTAGTTAACAGCCAAATGCCTTAACCACTATACCACCAGAGCTCCTAGCTTTAATCTAAGGCTAACGTATGCCCAGTATAAGGTAACACCTTTCTGAGGACTCTTCTTGATGCCCTATGTATTATGGGGCATGTCTTCTCTGGCTTGTGAGCATATGAAGTATTCCCAGCCCTGGGAATTATTTGCTCAGGCTACTGTTTCCAATTATTATTCCCCTTGGCTTTGGGTAGTTTCTTCTCACAGACATGTAAATCAGTACTTAGCTAACAACTTGAGAACACATTTATTTGTTCATTGTTGAACAAATTTTATAGGACCATAAAAAATTACCATCTCAGCTCAGAATGTTAATAATGGAAATCTGAGAAGATTTTACTATACTCTGCATTGTTATCTGTGCCTTTGTTTCTTAAAATGTCTCTAAACCACATCCCTCTGAAATCCTGCCTACTGCAGTGAGGTGAAAACCTTGTCCAGCCTCTAATGTGTCTTCATTCATTTGATACTAACTTAAGTATTTATTCCTCAAAGCTTTTGTTTTTTAATTCTCTACTGGAAAAGTTAACCTTTCATCTTGTAACACTCATAAATTTCCAATCTTTTCCCAGTCTAATATGATTCCAACAATCTTCTGCTCATTTATTTTCTTGCAGCCTTAAATTGTAGAGAAACGGCTTGAATCTTTATACAGACTTCCTAAAGACAACTGAGAGGATTGATCTATTTTTCATATTCTGCAGTTAATTTATATGTTTTACTGCTCAAAGATTCTTTTTGATTAATAGTGGTCTGTTTTCTTTTTATAAAAATGGCTTTATAAACCATTTGAGATTGATCTCTTATAAGGTCTCTGATTGTGACCTACTAATAAAATGATCAAAATTCTTTATTGTACCTTATCTCAAATATTCTATAGCCAGCTGCTGTTATTTTATGAACAAATAAAGGAACGGTCATGGGATTTATGATAATAAATGTTCTGAGTTTCAATTCTTATTTTGCCACTGCAGGGACCACC